ATGGGAGGGATGGGAGGGATGGGAGGGATGGGAGGGATGGGAGGGATGGGAGGGATGGGAGGGATGGTAGGGATGGGAGGGATGGGAGGGATGGGAGGGATGGGAGGGATGGGAGGGATGGGAGGGATGGGAGGGATGGGAGGGATGGGAGGGATGGGAGGGATGGGAGGGATGGGAGGGATGGGAGGGATGGGAGGGATGGGAGGGATGGGAGGGATGGGAGGGATGGGAGGGATGGGAGGGATGGGAGGGATGGGAGGGATGGGAGGGATGGGAGGGATGGGAGGGATGGGAGGGATGGGAGGGATGAGAGGATCAACCAATCAGCCCTTTACCTTTCTCACCAGCGTCCTGCCTCCCACGTCCTTGTAGCAAACCTAATGAACATATTAGTGATCAGCGTGCGGTGTTGGCAGATGTGGGAGCCCAGCTAGATGCGCTCTCCCGACCTGACCTGCAGCACCGCCATCCGCGCCTTAGCTGGCTGCACTCCTCCCTCGCCCACGCCGCCGCCGCCACCTCTGGCCGCAGCCCCGCCGCCGCCGCCACCCGCGGCTGCCGCCGCAGCAGACCCGTGCAGCTCCGAAACCACTAATCCGCAGTACGACACCACCAAGGCCTCGTGGAATCCGCTCGCCTGCCGTACTTCCACCGTCACGGCGGCCGTGGCGTGCTTGTGTATTGTGAGGGCGGCGGCCAGCCCCCCCCCCGCGGCGGGGTACAGGCGGCCGGTGAGGGCCTCGAAAGCGCCCCCTAGGTACAGGCACGAGGCGCTGGGGGCGTCCAGGGCGCCATCCTGTGGAAGTCCAGGGGAAGGGGTTTCGGAGCGCGGAAGGCGCACATTCTGGTAGAGGAATGAACCGGGGCTGGGAAGTAGGCGCTTGTGGGGCACATGAATGGGAGTGCGTTGGGGTCCGAGGGGCCCTGAAAAAGAAGATTTGTATAGCGGTGTAGATACCGCGGTGTGTTGCAGCGAAACCCTGAATATCACAATGTAAGACGGCTGCTGTCCAAATCAGCCGTTAACACTTGTTAAAGCGTTGGAAATTTCGGTTGAAATCAACCAACTAACGGCAGTTCAGTTCCATCCGTTGTGGTTGATCTGTTGCGGGGCCCTTTCCCTTTCCCGGGGGTGGGGAGCGGAAACCCCGGGGGGGAAAAGAGGAACCACGAGTGAAGCTGCTGCCGGGGCAAGAGTGTATTAGAAGTAGAACTGACCAAGAGGCATTCTTGAAGGCGAAGGGGGGGAAGGGGTAATGGAGGGTTGCAGGAAAAGGACTCACACGAGCCGCCAGAAGGCTAGGCACCCTCGCCTCGAAGCCGCGCCGCGCCGCCGCCACGTCCTCCCGCGTCACCTGACGGCCCGCCTTGTACGGCATGTATGGTGCCGCCGCCGCAACATTGGCTCCGGCGTCGCGCGCGGCCGGCATCCACGTCGCCAGGAACCAGCGCAGCACGTGGTGCGCCCGCAGGACGCACTCAAGTGCCGCCGCCGCTGCCGCCGAATCCGTCGCCGCCGCCGTCGCCGCCGCCACCGCCGCCGCTGCCCTCTCCGCCTCGATGTACTGATGCACCAGCAGGGGCAGCAGTCGTTGCTCCCCTGGCGGGAGACCCGGTGCTCCGGTGAGTGCAGCGTCGCGGGCCCTACGCGCCGCCCGGGGCTGACCAGCTGCGTCCTCCACCGCTGCCAGCGCCATCAGTAGTGCCACGCTGTGGCGGCGCTCGCTGAGCAACTTACGGGCCGCCTCCCGGGCGCGGTCAGCGCACGGCAGCTGCTGCAGCAGCCTGGCGGCGGCGGCGCCGTCGGCGCCGTCCGCTTGTACGCTTGAAGCTTCCACTAACAGGTACGCCAGGGCGATCTGCGGTAATGTTGTGGGAGAGTGGAGGGATATGACATGATGTACGGCATAAAACACGTCATGGGACGTCATGCAGCTTGGATTGCTGGATGAAGAAGGGCCCGAACACCACAATACCGTACTTTGGTGGGCAATGAGCGACGGGGATTTGACGGGAAGCCCAGCCGGAAGGGAAACAATAAACCGAAGCAGTCCGAAACCGAGTTAACAAACAAAGCACCGGCGCCTCAACGGACGCCTGTTTGATGCGTAGCGTAGTACAGCTGTGTGTACGATATGGCGTATACAACACCGAACACCAGCCTCCGCCAGGACTACCATCACACCACGCTCGTACATACCCGTGACGCGGTTAGAGTGTACGGCAGCAGCAGCGCTCGTACCTGCGGCTGATCCATGTAGGGCCCATCTAGTAGTAGACCCCGCAGGAGCCGGGCCACGAAGGCCCGCCGGGATTCGTCCTGCAGGTACCACGGCGCGGCGACGGCACCGCCGCCGCCGCCGCCGCTGCTGACGGCAGCCGCGGCGGCGGCCGCCAGGCCCAACGGCAGGCATCTCTGGCACTCCGCCAGCGCCACCTGCTGCGGCAGGAACCTCAAGAAGGACTGCGAGCAACAACCCAAACAGCTACTGTAGAGCCGTACGGCGGCAGCAGCGCCGCCGCCGCCGCCGCCAGGCGGGCTTGGCGTCACCGCCAACGGCACACCCAGCACGCAGAGGCAGCCCAGAATCAGATCCATTTTCAAATCCGGATCCTCAATCGGGAAGATTCCGTCACGGATCTCATTTATCAGGACCACCCGCTGCGCAACCACTGCGCCGTCGTCGCCGCCGCCGTCTCCCGGCTCCGCCGCCTCGGCTTCGCGCTGCGGTGACGTTCGAGACCCGTGGGCCGCCGGCGGCGGCCTCAGTGGCTGCCAGTCGCGGGCGGAGCGCTCACGCTCCGTACGCAGCCAGCGGCTGAGGATGTCGGGCGGCACACCCTGGCACCGTGGAAAGGCGGGTGGGATGCGGGTTGGGGGGGTCGGGGGGGAGTCGGGGGGAAAAGATGAACCACGAACGAGTGAAGCTGCTGCCAAGGAAAGAGTGTACAAGAAGCAGAACTGACCAGTAAGCGGTTTTGAAGGAGGCGACCTCGTTGCACGAGATGCGGCCCAAAGCGAATGAGTCAGTAGCGGACAGAAGGGCAGAAAGGAGGGTAACGAGGTCGTGGACTTTGCGCACTCTATCCCTAACCTCTATGCATCGGTCGGCTATAGCCGGACTGGGATAGTCGGGTCGGTCGGGCCAGCGGCGTGTTGGGGTGGGTGGGTGGGAGGAGCACTTGCATGCCACCAGCAGCTTATCACCAGCAGCTTATCAGCCAGTTCTGTGCCAGGCCGGCGAACCATTTGTATCCAGCTTGCGCCCTCCACCGCTTCCTCTAATCACGTCAGTTTTTTGCTCTTCGTCGCCTTTACACCTAACTTTAGGATTTTATGGATGGATTTCCTGCTCTCTTTCCGCACTTAATTTTAGTCTTGGCGGCTAGGTAGGTGTTTTTCCGCTATCGTCATGACTACTAACATCATCGCGAGGACGGCTTCTTCGCAACTGCCGACTGGTTGGTTATGCCTTCTTTTACTTCTGGCACATCAGTCTTTTCTTTGTTGGCATCAGCTTCCCTCGTTCGTGGTTCGTCTTCCCCCCTTCCCCCCTTCCCTCCGTTCGTCCTCACGGCCCCCTCCCACCTGCCGCTGCATCTCCTCAAGTTGCTCGTCCAACTTCAGCCCCAGTTGCGCCAACAGCTGCTCCTCGGTCAGCTCCTTGGGGCGGAAGAGGTGGTTAGGTCGGTGGTTAGGTCGGTGGTTAGCTAGGTGGTTACATATTGCCACCCTAACCACCACGACCACCGCACCCCGGGCGCCGCCCATACACATACCTGCACAGCCCCCTCCTCCTCCGCCTCGTCCGCCTCCTCGTCCTCCCCCTCGTCCCCTCCCTCGCCTTCAGCCCCGTCGCCGCCGCCACCATCCCCTCCCGCCGCCGCCGCCACGTCGTCGCCCTGTGCCGGCGCCGCTCCCGACGGTGGCGGCGGCGCCAACGGTAGCGGCGGCAACTCCATCCACCCCGTCCATCCGCCGCCGCCGCCCCCCTCGCCGTCCTCGTCTTGCCGCTGCTGGTCGCCGTACCCCCCTCGTACCCGCCTCCCGTCGCTGACGTCATCAAGGGGTCCGGTCTTGGAGGCCACCCACAACGCATCATTCTCCTTGCGGTACCTGTAGCGCTCGTACACACATACAGACATACACACGTACATTAAGAGTACTACTGCTACTGCTACAGTGTTGTACGGACTTTGTGTTCGACACGTGCCTCCGTGCCGTACACACGGCGGAGAGTGTTTTGTCTGTTTCCCCCTATGCAAACCGGTGGAAAGGACGGGTAACACCACCAGGTCCGAGGTATGTAAAACACACACACACACACGTACGTACAGAGAACATTCCCCCCACCCCCAATCCCCCCCCCCCCCGCCCCCCCCCCCGTCCCGTCTCACCACTTGGCCCAGCCTACGGCGCTCTCCTCCCCCACCCGCGGGGCACCTGACTCCCAGAAGTTGTCAAACAGCCGCAACAGCGCCCCGGCAGGCAGCCGCACACCACCACCACCACCACCACCGCCGCCCATTGCGGCCGCGGCTCGGTCGAGGCTCTGTTCAAGAGGGCCAGTCGGGGTGTGTGTGGGGGGGGTGGGGGTGAGGGCGGCCCTGTAACAGGGTGTGTGTGTGTAACCCGGGGCGGGTGCGTTGCACATTGCTTATCGAACGCAATGACCGGGGGATGTGTGTGTATGGTTTACTTCTCATTTGGAGATTGAGGGGGATTCTTTTATCGGGACGACCTCCGGGGTGGGAGGGGAAATGTTGTTGGGAGGGAGAGAGAGAGGGATATTTTCAAATGGGGAGGTAGATGAAGGCGGATGATTATCCCCACCCCACAGCCCCCAACATACCCTCCCCCCCCCACACACACACCCCGGGGGCGAAGCAGTGGAATTCCAACAGCGCCTGAATCCGGGCTACCGCAAACTCGCTAGCACCCGCACACAGCTCCAGATCCACAAGCTCCAGAACCAGTCGTACAAGCTCCTGGTCCAGATCCGAAACCACCGCCAGAGCCGCCGACCGCTCCGAAGCGTGGGTGGCGGCCTTGCGCTGCTGACAGGCGCGCTCCGAAGCCAGCGCATGCATGGCATTGCCGTACGCTGCCTGGCGTTGACCAGCGAGGCACCGGTGTGTGTGGGGGGGGAGTGCGTAAGACGAACCACGAACGAGTGACGCAGGTACCAGATATATAGGCCGATACTCCGGGATTAGACAGATACTGCAAGAAGCCTTAAGAAGTTACTGACCAATATTGAGTTGGGTAGTGGATCACCGCAGCGACCTGGCCAGATAGGTAAAGAAAGGAGTAACTAGTTGAGAGAGAGCAGGAGGCGAGGACAGGCGAGGACAGGCGAAATCACTACCCAGCCGCCGAGACGAAGGAGGAACATCGTAATGAGAGCGGGGGGGAGAGAGGGGAGAGAACGGCCAAAAGGATGGGATGGGGGCATGTGCTTCATGTGGACCGAGTGGTACGGTGATGGTACGACAGTTGTACGGCATGGTTCCCCCCACATTTCCCCCGCCCTCCTTCAGCTTCTCCCTCCCTCATTCCCCTTCACGCCCCTTCACTCCTCGGCTACAGCATCTCAGCCTTTCCAATGTTTCCAATGTTCGGTTTCGAAGAACGCTTTGCTGATTCGGCACGGCCGGCTGTGAAGGCTTAGAATGGCAAAAGCTGCAGAGTTATCAAAGTACACCTCGTGCTAGCGGCCTCCCCCCTTCCCCTCCCCTCCCCTCCCCTCCCCCCTTCCTTCCAGAACCTGCATATTGGACAACTTGGTGACCGCAAAGGCGCTCCGCCTCCGGGTCAGGTAGTCCCGCCAAAGAGCAGCCTCAGCAGGTGTACGACGTAGCAGACGTTCCCACCTGGTAGCGTGGGGTGTGTGTGTGTGTGTTGTGTGTGCCCAAGGGGGTGCGGGTAAGAGGGGGAAGGCTGCTTGTCGCCCGTGTGCGAAGGAGAGCGGAACAATATAAGACACGAGGCTAGGCGCTGTCCCCGCAATCCATCCATCCATCCATCCATCCATCCATCCATCCATCCATACAATGGAAGGTATTGCGCCCCTAGTTGATGGACGGTGGTGACCTGGGATAAAGTTAACCTGCGAGCCGACCAGGAATGGAGTTGGGCCGCTGTCGACCCGGCAGATTCCGTTGGATGGTGGTGGTGGGTGCGGAACCTGAGCGATCCACTGAGAAGTTGACTAGGGTGACTGGATGAGGGTGCCCCGAAATACCGGGGAAGGCAGGGTTTCGCCGGGTAGCTGCCACGGGTGAAGATACAACCCCCCTGTTTCACACATACATATATATTGTTCAGGCTGCCTCGGCGGAACTGAGATTAGTTGTGAGAGGCCTCCGTAGCCACCGTGCTCCACCATCGTCATCATCATCATCATCATTGTGGTGGTTGTGGTGGTGGTGGTGGTTGTGGATTATGTGAGGGACGTAGGGACGCGGGGTGGGTCGCGCGCCCTCGGCCGAGCAGTACTAGGGGACTGTGGGCCCTCACACCCCTCTCCCCCCACAAGGAAGGGAGGAGAGTGCTGCTTCGGCGGTCGTTCCTTCCCATTGATGGGGTATACGGTTAGGTGCCCTTGGCCAGTGTCAGGCCCGGATCGATATGTGGCAAATAATACACGCACACATACACACATACACACATACACGCCAACAATGTAAGATGATGTGAAGCAAGCTGCATACCCACGCGCCGACGTACACGTACATACAGACATACACACGCACCTGTCCATGAGTTCCTCCGGCTCCAGGAGGGGCTCACCGGCCGCCATCATGCCCCTCAGCAAGGCGGGGTGGCTGGGGTGGCAATCCAGGGCTCGCTGACAGGGCACAGGGAGGAGAGGGGATGTATGTGTATGTGTATGTGCGGCGGGGAGAGAGGGGGAAAGACGAACCACGAGCGAGTGAAGAACGGGGGAGGGGGGAAAAGGAGGGGGGATGGCGGGGAGACCGACCACCTATCCGGCCGACGGAAGTTACCCAGGAAACATACATACGCACACTTACATACACTACACTACACGACATACGTACATACGCGCAAACAGACTCACTTACACATACATACATACATACACACCTGCAGTATGGCCATTTTCTTCTCCGCCGCTGACCCCGCCACCTCCGCCACACCCCGCCTAGACAGCAGCCGGGACACCCCGTCCTGGAAGGCGGCGAAGCGCAGCCAGAGCTGTTTGGAGGGGTAGGGGGGTAAGGGGGGTAGGGGGGGGGAGGCGCATTGAAAAAGGAGTCGCAGGGGGTTGCGGGTGTGTGTGTGGGGGGGGTTGTCGAGTGCAGGAAACATAACCCGGGGGCCCCCGTGGGGAAGGGGACACATGCACATACATACAAACATACATACATCGCACATACATACATCATTCCGCCTGCCGACCCCTCTGTGTGTGAGGGGTATAGAATTGGGAGGTGGGCCTCCATCTTGTGGACAGTGCAAGACGTGATTTTAGCAATTTGCGAGCTGACCAGGAACTAAGTTGTAGCGCCGTTGATCCGCTAGATTTGGTTGGATGCTGGTGGTCAGTTGCTGGACCCAACGAATACATTCTGAAGTCGGATGGGTTGAATGGATTAGGGTGCCCCTCTAGCAGGGGAGAGCAGGGAACTGCCTCGGGAAAGGGGGCCGCTGGTGAAGCTGTACCACCCTGTAACAACATACATACATACATACATACATACATACATACATACCGACAGACACAAGCAAGTTGGTCAAACTCATGTCCACTTTCATCACGTCGCTTACCGGAATGTTCTGGGGATCCTCCCGTACGGCAGTGTTGTACTCCCGTGTTTTCCGCAGTACCCACTCCTCCGCCGACTCGCCGCTGGCCGCCGCCGCAGCCGCCGCCACCTCCGCCGACAGCTGCCGCCGCTCCCATCCGCCGCTGCTACCTGCCGCCGCCGCCTCCGCTGCCGCCGCCGCCGCTAGGGCCGGGTCCTGCATCGGGATGTACGACGGCATTGGGATAGCCATCTTGGCGCCGCTCGCCTCCGCTGCCGCACCGGAAGGGGCTTTAGCGGCTGCAGCCGGACCCTCCAGCTGCGACAGGAGCCAGCCGCGACGTCCACCACCGGCGCGGCCGGCGCCGCCGCCGCCCCGACGCGAGCCGCCGCCGCCGGCGCCCGGGAGCACCGGCGCCTCAGACAAAAACACGCGCCGCAGCCGCCGGCTCCGCTCCGCCGCCACTGTCTTGGCGGCGAAGTATCGTATGGCGGCGAGCGAACCATGGGGCGGTTCGTCATCTTCTTCCTCCTCGTCACCCCCCCGCCGCGGACCCCGGCCCCGCCCCCGAGCCGCCGCCACCGCTGCCGTCATGACCTGCCCGGGCAGCAGCCGATTTGCACGCGCCCCCTTGGAAAGGCCCAACGGATCTGCGCGGTAGTACGACGCCACGTTGCTGCCGTACAAGGACTCGTACACCAGGTTGTCGAGATCGCCGCGGGTGTCGTAAAACACTTCACCAGGTTGCGTCGCGACGTCTTTGAGGAGGGGCTTTGCGGCGGTGAGAGCGGCGGCCGCCTGACGTGGGGCGAGGCCCGACGCGGCTGCGGCACGTTCCAGCCGAAGGATCTTCGCCCGTTCAGCCACGTCGATGCCGTCGTCGCTTCGGCTGTCGCTGTCGCTGCTGCTGCCGCTGCTGCTGCTGCGCCGGCGGTGCGATCGCTTTCTGCGCTTCTTTTTCGGCTTCCCTGACCGCTCCTCGTCTTTGCCGTCTCGCTTGCGGCTGCCTCGCGTGGGGCGAGACGGAGAGCGCGAGGAGCGGCGCTTGCGTTTTTTGCGCCTTTTGCGGTCTCCACCACGCCGATCGCTGTCCATATCAACAATATCGCTGCCGGCACCCCGCCCTGAAGGCTCTGCGGTTCCTGGCAGTTTGACCGCAGGGACAGTCGCGCCTGCGCCATCTTCAGCGTCCGAGTCGCTGCTGCTTTCCAGGTATCGCTCCGCAGCCCTCAAGAAGTCCGCTTGCGTGGCGTAATTTCCATAGGGGAGACGGGGCTCCAGCACGACATGCGGCTGATAGCTGGCGTTGTTGCTTAACCATTCGGTTGCGTTGTCTGAGATCGGGCGGTCCTGCTGCGGAGAATCCCCGGGATTGTTACGGAGTACTGGAAAGAGACTCATCGGTCACGGAGATACAAGCCGTGGTGAAGGACAGTCAGCAACAAAAACGACTGCCGGCAAACGACTGAGCTTCGATGACATGTGACAAAGTTTTGCAGTCTACCTGCATTACACATAAGGACATCCTGCAATAATAGCCGATGTTACGGAGGCAAGCTGATAGTTTGGCATGCAATTGGCACGGAAGCCGTTAATTTCAGTTGAATTTATTTGTGATCCACGCCAGGGGCCCCAACTACAGCGCTGAGCCGAGAACCTGTCCAAATAATGAGTAGCAAGTTACGAAAGACTTTATAACCAAGTCTCACTACATGGAATGATAGTGCCAGTCACTGTGAAGCAAATGTCGCATAGATAGTCGGTGTTTGAGGTTGCAACAGGTCGCCGGATCTTCGGCCCATACGCTTGTATATTTACCGTGGCGCGCCTTACGAAACCCTCATAACTCCTTAGACACAAGGGTTCTTACCAAGGCTTTCGGGCTGTTCTGCGCAAAACTCTGCGTCGCGATGGGCAACTTTTACAGCAAAAAAAGTAAAGCTCCTAAAGGGTGGGTCGCGAACACCGGGCAAGAGTCACGAAGCCAAAGAACTCTTCTTGGACACACTATTGCCTATGTTCCCTTCGCCCCACGCCTCCGCCCAGACCCACCATCACGGAGGTGGATCGAGCTATCCTTAGCCTCAAAACGCAACGCAAGAAGCTGGAGGACCAGGAGAAGCTGGTAGGCCACCCACCCTCCGGTTGCGCCGACAGCTTAGCTAACGACAATGTGTGGTTAGCTGCTGTCCAAACTCCTTCCCGTACACATGTACTATTAAGAACCCACATGACACAAAAATGTCCCGGGGGGAATCCTCGCTTTCGTCCGGTCGTCGTATGTGATCCTTGACCTGAGATCACCTCTTGTTTTCGCCCGCGGGCTGGCCCCGGGCTTTTCCCGCCATTTTCCATTACTGGCCATTTTCAAACCGCAGCACGCCCGTAGCGCCTTGCTCCTGGACCTCCCACGTGCTTCCCGTACAATACCCCCTCACTGCCTTCACTGCCCGGGACAACAAACCCATCACGGCATCTTCGCATCATGCTGTTTTACCCACCATTATATCCTATCCCCTGCGTAACACACACGTGTGCCCGTAGCCCCACCCATTTGTGCAGCCCCGCCCTGCCGTCCTGCAGCAGCTCCCCTGTCTCCGCCTCCGCCTCCGCCTCCACCTCCACCTCCACCTGCTAGGAGCCGTTAGAGCCTCTGTTCCCCCTCTCCCCCCTGTCCCCCTCTGCACTGCTTTTCTTCTTCTCCTTCGACACGCCTTCGCGCGCTTCCCCTAACCCCCTCTCCCTCGCTCCCGCTGACGACCCCCACCTGCTCCGGTCTCTGGCCTGTCCGCCTGCAGCTAAATGTACGGCTTGTACGGCATGCGGAAGTTGCCAGTCAGTTGGCACGTGAGGGGCGGCGAGATCGGGCCCTGCTGGTTCTTCGGAAAAAGAAACTCAATGAAAAGCAGCTGAGTCAGCTGCACGGATTGATCCTTAATGTGGAGGAAATGGTGGGTGCAACAGGAAGGGGGTGAGAGAGGGGTGGGGGAAAAGTGGGTTTTAACCTCCTCAACCTCCGGAGGAGTCATCATTGCAGCACCGCTAAGGGGTAACGTTGGAGCGGCAGCATGCTTGTGCTACATGTCTAGGATTTTGTCGTACGAATGTGTATTACGTCATTGGGAACCTCGGCCCCCCTTCAAAATCCCCCGGAGGTCATGGGTCGGCGGGAGTTGGTCGTTTGGCAGTTGGTCGTTTGTTTGACTTTTTCGCATCATTAAGATCTGCCCCCATTCCCCCCCAAATCCCTCAGCCAGGCCCCCCACCAAGGGGCCCCCCGATCTCGCTAACCGCAACCTCCTCCCTAACCGTAACCGTTGGCAGTTGTCCAACATCGAGACGTCCAAGAAGCAGAGTGTCGTGTTTGCGGCGCTGCAGTCGGGCACCGAGGCGCTGAAGCAGCTGCAAGCGCAGGTGGGCACGGGTATATATATATGTCTGTATTTGTGAGAATATTGTTGCGCTGTATAGGTGTGTTGGAGTCTGGTGGCGCGCCAGGGCGTCCTGACAACTTGGCTCATAGGGCTGCCCTCCTTTCCTCCTGGCGCACACACGAACAAACACGAACACAACATACAAACACGTACACATACTTCAATACACACCACTTAAATATACAGACAGGCAGACAGACAGACAGGCAAACAGACAGACAGACAGACAGGCAGACAGACAGGCAGACAGACAGACAGGCAGACAGGCTGACAGACAGGCAAACTTACAGACACGAACTTAATCCCCTTCCCCGCTTCCTTTTTCCCTCTCTCCTCCCTCCCTCTCCCCATCCTTCCCTATTCCCTCTCTCTCCCCCTTCCCCCCACCCCCCGCCCCTCCTCCTCCCCTCCCCCCCCCCTGGCAGGTGAAACTTGAGGACGTCCAGCGGCTGTTAGAGGACACGGCGGAGGCCCGCCAGTACCAGGAGGAGCTGCAGACGCTGTTGGGACAGCAGCTGACGGAGGGGGAGAACACCGAGGTGGGGGCGGGGGGGGGGGAGAGAGGTCCTGGGGGGGAAGCCGTGTGTGTATATGTGTATGTGTGCAGTATTGCAATCGTGTCAATGTGGCTGCAGTGGCGAAGGAGGAGAGAGCTGGTGGCCCGGCCGCGGTTGGGGGGAGCGGTGTGTGTGTTTGTGCGTGTGTGTGTGTATTCGGGGCGGTGGGTTGGGCGCAGTGGGCATGTAAGTGCTGGTGGAGGTGGGGAACACGAACCACGTGAACGAGTGAAGCTGGTGCCAAGGATAGACGGATACGCCAGAAGCACGTAGAAAGAACTAACCAGTCGGCAGAAGAGGTCGTCCTGGCGATGATGACGTCATGACGACCGCGGAAAAATGACGATAGCGGAGAACTACCTACCTAGCCGCCAAGACTAAAACAAAGTGCGGAAAGAAAGCGGGGAGGAGGGGGAGGAGAGAGGGAAAGAAAACCCTAAAACCCTCATGAACTGGCGAGAAGGTTCATGAGGCTCTGTGGGGTGGGGGGTGCGGGTGAGTGAGCGCCCCCTCACGGTGTGTGCTTACCCCGTCACAGCTGCGCCTCCTTCTCTCCCCCTTATACCCCTCCTTTCCGGCCCCTTCCCCCAACACACACACGCACATATGTCCCCCGTACACACACACATATCCCCCCCACACAAAAACACACAACTGCCTACCTGGCGTGTCACCTCACCTGACCTCACCTCAGGTGGAGGCGGAGTTAGCTCTCCTGGAGGAGCTGGTGGCGGACGAAGAGAAGCTGCAGATGCCCCGGGTGCCCCCGGGGGCCACCAAGGTGTGTATGCAGGATGTGGTGGTTAGGGGCGGTGTAG